AACTGCTTATTTTAAAAATAAGTTTCAGCACTTCTAAAAGTACTTTTTTAAAGCTGCTTTTATTAAGCCCATCCAAACGGGCCCTTAGTAGTTACATTTTTTAAAGGTATATTTATGAAAAATCCATAAATTTGGTACTACCTTCGTTCCTTCGAATCATACTAAATTTTAACTAACATTTAAAATGTATTTTTCAATCATATTGATTAAAAAAATTAATATTAATGGTAATTTTCATATAATTAATATAACGTAATATAGCTTTAAAAGTCAATTAAATCTGATTTTCAAAAAATGTAAATATGATAATATAAAAGTACGGAAAGAGAATCAACTTTGTGTAAGAAAATTGACCTTATCGTTCAATGTCGACCTATTTCGTAATGATTCACATAACTTAACTTAAAATATCTGAAAATTTTAATAACTTAATTGATTAATTATCTTCGTCTAACTCTGATCGACCAGAGTTCGATTTTTGGCGTGTTACATGACTACTAATTTCACCTAATAAAGCCGCACCCCAATTAGATTTTACTTACAGGAGGACGTGATTAAGAGTGGTTAATTTCCTCTCCCTTTTTCTCCTCTTTTTCGTAATTGCAATCTGTGTCTTTCTTTAGTGAAGAGCTTCAAAAAAAAATGGCGGAAATGGTGGATAATGCTCTTCTGGTGCTCCCTGCCTTACTGGCACCACGTGAACCCACTACCCATCTTCTTCTAAACCCAAGCAAATTGTTAAAGAATTGATTTTGTGTATTGCTGTTAACTTAAACTTCTTCGTATCTTAGTAGAAGTTCCACTTTTGTTTCCACGTGCTTTTCCCACTCTTTTCGCTTCTTTGTTAAACCAAATACATATACCCCATTTCTTTATTTGATTTCTTCTTCTTCAAATTAACTGCCTTTCAATCATTTATTGTCTCTCACCCACTCCCCTTCTTCTGCTCATTTAATCATTGTCTCTCTCTTTCTCTCTCTATCTAGCTACTTACTTAATTCTGCATTTACTTCTCATCATTTTCCTCTTCATCTACTCCTCCTTTTCAGTTTACTCTACCAAGTGTTTGATTTTTTGCCTCACTGGTACTTGCTAGTATACTATACAGTTTCTGAATTTTGTGGGGTTTTCAGTTTTCTACATTTTTTATGCGATTTGGCTATCTGGGTATTGCTATTCAGGTTCATTTCAATCTTCTTTTTGTTATTGCCGACAGTTTTCAAATTATGCATACTTTGCTTTACGGTCAAGAAAAGTGTTAAAGATTCAATCTTTTTGTGTGTAATGCGTTTGGAAATAGGTGAAGAACGTGAAATGCCTGTTTGTTCCCTTTTTTTTTCATTTTTTGGCAGCCCCAAGAAGTTGACGGAAGAAATTTTGGCTGGTTCTTCTTTTACTTTAGCTGTTCTGTTTATTGAAACCTAACTTTTACTTAATTTGCGTGGTTGACCCAAAAACAAAATGTGTTCTGAGTGTCTACGTAACTTTACTTGCCCTGTAAATTGTTCTATTTATGGTTAAGAAACGGTTTTCTAGTTTAAATGATAATTATTTATAGTGAATAACGAACATCATGCCGTTTCAATGTCTGATTCCATTTCTTTTTCGAAATTCTTGTAGAGATGAAGGGTGCTGTTACTAGAAGTTGATGTCTTTGTAGTTTAGCTCAGGGGAAGAGAAGGATGGTTACAAAGTTCCTGTTTGTTTCAGTTTTATTCGGCACAGCTCTGTTCTGGCTAGCAAGTAGTGAACCATATGAAGACAAAGAAGCGCTTCTTGATTTCCTTAATAATGTGAATCATTCGCGGTACCTGAATTGGGATGAGAGAACTTCTGCTTGTAGTTCTTGGACTGGAGTCACTTGTAATCATGAGAAATCAAGAATTATAGCAATCAGGTTGCCTGGAGTTGGATTCCGTGGTTCGATTCCTGGAAACACTCTTAGCCGCTTGTCTGCTCTTCAGATCTTGAGTTTAAGGTCTAATAGTTTTAGTGGCAGTTTACCTACTGATTTTGCAAAACTTGGAAATCTTACTTCTATATATCTTCAATCCAATAACTTTCAAGGTCCATTGCCTACTGATTTTTCTGCTTGGAAAAGCCTTTCGGTTTTGAATTTGTCAAATAATGATTTTAGTGGGAGTATACCTTCTTCAATATCGAACTTGACTCATTTGACTGCTCTAGTTCTTGCTAATAACTCGCTTTCTGGCAGTATTCCTGATCTCAATCTCCCTACTTTGCAAATATTAGATCTGTCCAACAATAACTTCACTGGAAGTATCCCCAATTCTCTTCAAAGATTTCCTGGTTCAGCTTTTGCTGGTAACCCGCTTTCTCCTGCAAATTTTTCACCTTCATTTCCTCCAGTTCCTCCTCCAAGTGTCCCACCAAAAAAGAAATCGTTTAAACTCCGTGAACCTGCAATACTTGGGATTGTAATGGGAGGATGTGTTTTAGGTTTCTTAGTGGTAGCTGCAGTGCTAATTATGTGCTTTTCAAAGAAAGATGGTAACAGTGGGGCCACAGAGAAATCAATCAAGAAAGAAGATGTAGTCAGGAAGGGAGTTTCCAGCAGTCAGCATGGAGTAGGGAATCTCGCATTCTTCGAGGGTTGTAATCTTGCATTTGACCTTGAAGATCTGTTGAGAGCTTCAGCAGAAGTGCTTGGAAAGGGAACATTTGGCACTACATATAAGGCAGCTTTGGAGGATTCTACCACAGTTGTGGTGAAGAGATTGAAGGAGAGCGTGGGAAGAAAAGATTTTGAGCAACAGATGGAGGTTGTCGGCAATATCAGGCATGAGAATGTGGTCCCGCTGAGGGCATACTACTATTCCAAGGATGAGAAACTCATGGTATATGATTTCTACAGCCAAGGGAGTGCAGCTTTGTTGCTGCATGGTATGTTAAGCACCCAATATCTACTACTCTTGCTGTTTTATTCTTGAACCGTTCCATAGAGAACTGATTATCAGGACCAAAAACATAATGCAGATCATTTTTAGCTATGATATGTCTTGTGCAGTAGTATTTGAAATTGCTTGTAGGCTAATTATAGTGTAACCAATTGCCATTGAATGCATTAGGATGTACAATTGCATCAAGAGAATAGAGTATCTGCTGTTGTTGTCCTTAATCATCAATAGCTTATAGGACAGCATTTGTTTCTCCAAGTCATAACTAAGTGCCACTTTTAGGCCATGTCTAAGTGCAGCTTTTCTTTTAATTTGTCAAAATTCAAGAGCTGTCATGTTGCTCGCGAACTTTGCTTTGGCGTTATAGACAACTTCCATCAATGTTAGGTGGATAGTCTTTTAACTGCACCTTCAAGTATTCCTATCATTATATCTGATGCACTCTGTAATTGCAGCAAAGAGGTCTGCTGATCGAATTCCTCTTGACTGGGAAACCCGACTACGAATTGCCATTGGTGCAGCTAGAGGCATTGCTCAAATACA